AATTAAAATTTTTGCATTAACATTAATGAAAAAATATATCTTTAAATTTATAAGAGAAAATTTTAGAAAGGACTTTAATTTTAAATGAGTTCTTGCTAATTGCCCAGTTTTACATATTCGGCACGACTTATATATACAACATATATATATATATTTTTTTTTTCAAAAAGTGGGGCCGTCCCCCACCGAGGCAGGTGACCCAAAAAAAAAAAGAAGAAAAAATCCCAAAAAGAAAATACTTTATATCATTCAACACTTTCCCAAAACTCACACATTATCACTGCTTTTGCAGAGGGTGCTCAGAATCAACAGTTAGAAGCATATATGTATAGAGATACACAACATATCCCTCCAAACTCCCAAATTTTCCCCCAAAACCACTCCTTTAAATTTGCAGGCATTGTACTTCCCATTTCCAGGACTCAAGCCCGACTTATGAAAAAAACCCGGTTTCCTGAATCCCTTCACTAAATATTCCCCTGCTCACACTCCAACAGATCGTCGGTCCCAAGTTCATTCGTCTCCATTCACTCCTATCTAACCGTCACGCACGCTGCTGGAAGTCCAAGCCCCTCACCCACAAACCTCCTTTACCCCCTTTCCAACCCTTCGAGGACGCCCTACCCCCCCTTTCCTTCCCCTATGATTTATTGCTTTCATGTATTCTACTTGATCATTCTCTCTAAATGACCAACACCTCAATAACCCCTCTTCGGCCCTCGGACTAATGCTTTTATTAATTTCCACCCCCTCGTCCTAATTTCCACACTCCGAATTTTTGGCATAATATTTTACACCACACTGCCCTTAGACAGGAATCCCATGCCTCCAAACGTCTCCTCGCTGCTGCATTTACCACCCAAGCTTCACATCCATATAAGAGTTTTTTGGGTAACTAACTTTCACATTCCCTTCTTTGCCTCCATAGATAACGTTTTTTGACTCCACTATACCTTTAACGCACCATCCCCTTTTTCCCTCATCCCAAACTATGATTAACCTCATCCTCATAAATCCTTCGCCGACACGTCAACTCCCAAGTATCTTTAAACATTCTCTTCTTCCTATCCTCCTCCCCAAATTTTATATCCAATTTTTCTTATCTAATATTGATACCCTCATCACCTATCTTTCCTTTTTCACTTTCAACTTTCTACCTTTACACACATTCTCAACTCATCCACTAACCTTTGTAATTTTTCTTTAGAATCTCCCATAAACACCGATCATCACAAAAGCAACTGTGTCAATTCCATTTTGAATTTGATTCCCATATTAATCCCACCCTCTCCCGAACACCCTGCATTTATTTTTTACAACCCTCTATAATATTTAAACAACCATGGTGCATTACACTCCCTATAAGACCTACTTTACGGGAAGTATTCCCTCTCTTCTACACACCCTAACCTGAGCCTTTACTATCTCATAAAAGCTCTTTACAGCATGTAGTACTTACCACCATTCCTATACTTCACATCTGCCACATTGCTCCTCTTCCCCCTATATGCCTTTCAAATCCATAAATGCAATAAAAACTTCCCTACCTTTATCTAAATACTGTTCACATATTGTTCATGAAACCTTGAACTAACATCCCCTACCATTTTGAAGCCTCCTTGTCCGTCCGCAATTTACATTCTTCTTACCTCTAATTCTTCAGTTATAACCCTACGTATACTTTTCCCGGAATCGTAAACTTATTCCTCTATAATTTTACAAACTCTTTTTTCCCTTTCCCTTTTTTAAAAGGGGAAACAAAGCCTCCGCCAAACCCTAAAGGGACCTCCCTCTTTCATAAGTTAAAAAAAAGTACCAACCACTCAACCTTTCCCCCCTGCTTTTAATTTGTCAGTCCCATCAGTTCCCAGAGTCTTACCCCTTTCATTCTACGTAATGCCTCCCCGTACCTCCCACCACATTACATTCTGCTTCTTCACTCCTAAAGAGGTAACTCCCTGGCCAGTGCATGATTACGCCTCCCTTTCTTCCTTACATTTAAAGTCTCAAAAATCCGCAATCTACCTAATACCTCCCTCCCCATCTATAAATCCCCTATTGTTTTTAACTGCAATCTTACTTTCCCTTAGGCCCTTTTTTAACTTGTTTTTAAACCCCTCCAAAATTTTTTTTTATTTTTATAAAAATTTCTTGACAGTGCTCTTCCCTCTTTCATTGCTTCCTTTGCACTCTCTCACCACTCTCTTCACTTTCTTTTCTCATTTTCTTGCTCTTCTATAACACTTCTGCTTTGTAAAAACCTCTTAAGCTACTTTTCCTTTTATCACACCCTTTACTTCATCATTTCCCCAATCAAATCTCTTTTCCCCCGCCCCACCCCTTTTAACCACAAACTTCGCCCCACATTCTAATACTGCCCTTTTTAAAACTATTCAACCTCTTCAAACCCCCCCCCTACTCATCTTACACTAGCCCACCTTTCTGCCAATAGTCGCTTTTTATCTCGCCGAACTTCTCCTCCCTTTATTTATATATATATATATATATATATTATTTTATAAAATATATAAATATATTTTAAAATATTTTATATATATAATTTATACATACAACATTTTCCGAAAATGTAAAACTGGTCAATTGCAAGAAATATTTAAAATTAAGTCCTTTCTAAAAAATTCTTTTTACTGTATTTTAAAAATATATTTTTTTTTCATTAAAGAGTAATGTAAAAATTTTAAATTTTTTAATAAAAGAATTTAAAAACTTACCTAACTTATTTTTAAAAAGAAACAATTTATTTTTGCCTAACCCAACTAAATTATTTTAGATTTGTTTAGAATAATTTAATACTAAACAAACACAGTTGAAATATATATTTTTCGTTAGGTTAAGAATGATTTGGGCGAAATTTTTTTCCATACACAAATTTTCGTTGTCCTATATGGCAAGATGAGCGTTGCTTTTTAAAAGCCAAATCGGCAAGTTCTGCTATTCGGCACGACATATATATATATAATTTTATATATATATATATATATATATTTTATATATATTTATATATATTTTATTATATATATATATATATATATATATGACAGGGTGGATAGGGGGGCAATGTGGCAGATGTTGCGGGGTGTATGGTGTAGGGAGGTAGGTTACTGAAGCAGTGAAGATTTTTTTCGAGGATAGTGAGGCTCAAGTTGAGTATGTAGGAAAAAAGGGAAATTTTTTCCCCATAAAAGTAGGCCTTAGACAAGGATGTGTGATGTAAACCGGGCTGTTTAATTTTATTTATAGATGGGGGTGTAAGAGAAGTAAATGCGAGGGTCTTGGCAAGAGGCGTGGAGTTAAAGTTTAAAGAACGCACACAAAGTGGAGTTGTCACAGTTGCTCTTTGTGATGACACTGTGCTCTTGGAAGATTCTAAAGAGAAGTTGCGGAGAATGGTGGATGAATTTGGTTTGGTTGCAAAAAAAGGGGAAAATTGAAGTGAATACAGGAAAAGAGAAAGGGTTTAAATGAGGATAACAAAAAGATTAGGTGATGAAAGATTGGATATCAGATTGGAGGGAGAGGAAAGAGTAAGGTTATGAGGATAACAAAAAGATTAGGTGATGAGAGATTGGATATCAGATTGGAGGGAGAGAGTATGGAGGAGGTGAATGTATTCAGATATTTGGGAGTGGACGTGTCACGGATGGGTTATGAAGATGAGGGTGGGAATCAGAGAATTTATGGGGAAAAGGGTGGAGTGGTGCGTAGGGTCTGTGGAGACAAGACTTTGTCCTTGGAGGCAAAGGGGGATGTATGAGAGTATAGTTTTTACGCGTTTATATGGGTGTGAAGCATGGGTGATGAATGTTCAGCGTGGAAGGCGGAGCAGTGGAGATGTCATGTCTGAGAGCAATGTGTGGTGTGAATATTAATGCAGGAATGTAGTTGGAAGTAGGAGGAGGGCGGGATTACCAAAACTTGTCCAGAGGGTGAGGAAGGGGGTTGGGGGTTCGGGACCCTGTGGAGAGAATGGAGCGAAACAGAACAACTTCAAAGAATGTATCAGTCTGTAGTGGAAGGAAAGGAGGGTAGGGGTCGGCTAGGAAAAGGTTTTGGAGGGAGGGTTAAAAGGGGGTTTTGGTTTTTGGGGAGGGGCTTGGATTCCAGCAGGCATGGGGGAGCGTGTTTGATAGGAGTGAATGGAGAAAATGGTTTTTAATATTGACGTGCTGTTGGGTGTGAGCAAAGTAACATTTATGAGGGGTTCAGGGAAACCGGAGGGCCGGACTTAGTCCTGGAGATGGAAGTACAGTGTTGGGAACCTGGAAGGAAGGGGGGGTTATTTTGCTGTTTAAAAACGTGTGTAAAGAACCCTTCTGGCAGGACAGTGATGGGTGAATTTATAGGAAAGTTTTTCTTTTTGGGCCCACCCTGCCGTGGTGGGAATCGGACAGTGTGATAAAAAAAAAATATACGTTTTTAAACATTATATAAAATATTTATATTTATATATATATATAATTTTTTATATATATATATATATTTATATATATATATATTTTTATATATATATATATATATATATATATTATATATATTATATATATTATATATTATATATATATTATTATCGTGATACACTCTGAAAGATGCCATACTTGTAAGTTATTGGGAACGTTCACATAGTAAGACAGTTTGGACCCCACTAGCATGGCTTCGAGGGTTCATGCGATATCATGGTACAGAACCACTACTGGTTAACACTACCGGTTAACACTACCGGATAGCACTACCGGTTAACACTACCGGTTAACACTACCGGTTAACACTACCGGTTAACACTACCGGTTAACACTACCGGTTAACACTACCGGTTGCTTGAAACGTTGTAACCCTTAAACCCAACCATAACAAAGCAGTTTGCGATCTACAATGTTGAAGGTAAGGAAGGGAGTTTTCTATAAGTATGTTTATTCAGCACAGGTACACATAAGTACAATTATTATATGTAGTGTAAATTACCTAGCATAATCCAAAAAAGTCAGACAAAGTGACTTATTTCCATTGGAGTCAGTCTTATTCAAGGCAGAAATCCTCAGAGTTTAC